ATAAATATGACTTAGCATATTTACAAAAATATAAATATATAACAAAATATATGTATATTTCTAATTAATATATTTATATTTTTGTAAAAATATATTAATATATAATAAATTATATTTATCGAATTATTAGTTTATCTATAAATATACTAAAAATATTATTGATATTAATTTATTAATATACTAATTATTAGTATATTTCTAATTAATATACTTATATTTTTGTAAAAGTATAGTAATATATACTAAGTTATATTTATCAAATTATTAGTTTATCTATAAATATACTAAAAATATTATTGATATTAATTTATTAGCAATATTAAAATATTAATAATATATAAATTTTATTTATTTAGTAATAATAAATATATATTATTTGCTACATTAACAAAAATTACAATATGCGTTAACTTAAATAGGCAAATAATTGTATAATTTTAAAATATTATATATATATATATATTTATATATTAAAATTATTAAATTTTTAATAGGAGAGACTAAAATCGCACAATTATGATATTTGAGGGACTAAAATTGTTCAATTAAATATTGAATGACCAAAATCGCACAATTACAATCCTTTAGAGATTAAAATTATCTAATTAAAACTGGAGATCAAAATTGCCTAATTACAATACTTGAGAAATCAAAAATGCAATTAAACCATTTAATTTTATTTTTAAATTTAAAATTATATTTATAGTCTTTGTAATTTTTAAAAACTTTATTTTAATTTTTCATGACACTAATAACATACATAAAAATGACATACTGAAACAATTATATAATATTAGTTGGATTTAGTATAATGTTTTTACTAACAAGAAAACCGATAAATCTTATACAAATGGTTGACAATTTTTTTTAACAAAATTTGAGTATAAAAATTAAAACAAGATTTTATGAAATTATATAATTAAAAAATTAATTTTAAGTTTGAAAAAAATAAATTACTCTTATATTTAATAAATTAAAAATATATTTAAATTTTTTAAAATATTATCCGTCATAAATAATTTTATACATGTGTTACGATCCCTTAAATTAATTTTGTTACTTAGAAGAATTAGACTTAACTTTTGATTATAAAATATAAATACCTTGGTTTAAGAAAAATGGTAATTTAGAATTAATTTGATGGCGTAAAATATCCGACGATTTTTCTAATAAAAAAAAACAAAACAATGAATAATTGTTTATATATTTTTATGGTATCACTGTAATTTTGAGAGATTAAATTGATTTTTGAATACTAACAGAAAGCATTTTTTACTTTCATTCACGTAAAAATTGTGCAGATTTTTATAATAATTATTTAAAAAAATGAATTTAGAAAAATTAAAAAAATCAATAATAATGGATAAAGGCAGAATTTTTTTTCAACTATTTTTAGTCTTTATTTTTTTAATGTAATCTTTTTATCTTTCAAAACCTTTAAAAAAAAACAAACAAACTCATTTATTTATTTAATTTTTTGTTTTTTTTATTTTAGTCGTTTAATCTCCTTAAATAATGGTTATAATTACATTTTTATTGTAAATAAAAAAATTATTACTCATATAATTATCTTCTTTTTTTTTCACAACAGTTACAAGTGCTTTTTTTCTCTCAAAATTCCTTTTTTTCAAAAAAAAAAAGATAAAGATATGAAATATTTCAACTCTATTTATACTAATAACATAATTTACATACTTGTCCCATTACAAAATATTATTTATTTATAGTACTATTAGAAAATACATTTCATACCTATGTGAAAAATTAAATATCTTTTTTAAATGTAATTATTATTTTGTTTAAGATTTGTTTTTCTATTTTATTCTTAGATATATTGAAAAAAAATAAAAAATAAATATAAGGACATAACTATCATTGAAAAAATGAACATTAAGAAAAAGTATTGGTTATAGATGGATACTATCATAGTAATTAATTTTAGTTTTCATTTTAATATAGACCATTTTTTTTTACAACTTTTAAAATTATTTTTTCTGCAAGTAACTTCTCATTTTTTTATTTTAAAATCACAATAATTACTCATAAAATAATTATTTTTTCTTTTTTAATATAGTCAAGGAGTGTTTTTCACCAGCTAGTATATAATAAAATTTGTAATTATTTTTAAAAGTTATATTAATGAAAACATATAACTTAGTTTATAATTTAAAATTTTTATACTCAGAGCGCATAGTTATTAAATTTTTTAATTAATAGTATTTTAAAATAATAACTAGTAGTATTTTTTAAAATAATAATTAATAATATATTTACTAAATTATTTATTATTTATTTTTAGAAAAACTATTATATAAAGGTGATATACATTATGGTAACTATTTTTTGTTTTTATTTTTACATTGATCATTTTCTCTCTTATATTTTTTTCTACAACTTTCTAAAACTACCTTTTTCTACCAGTAACTTCTAATTCTTTTATTTTTTTCTTTTTTCTTTTATTTAAAATTGCATTACTCATAAAAGTTATAAAAAAAATGTTTTTATTTTTTTAATACAGTGCATGGAATGCTTTTTTCTGTTAATATACAATAATTTTTTTTTAATTCAAAACGGGACTTAAAAACCTAAAAACATACTAAAAACTACAGAAGAAAAAAATAACAAACTTGTGGGCTAAGAACAAAAAATGGGGCTAGCTTGGTGGCGTGTTAAAACACTGAATTCCCCTAAAAAAAAGAGAGTCCTAATTTAGCAAATTTATCAACTACTTGATTAACTTCTCGAACGACATGAATATATTCCACCTTGTAAAATCATCCTGCTATCTTGATAATTTGGTTGAGAAAAGAGTAACATGGATGAATTCTAGAAAAATCCTTGTTCAAAAACTCAACAAATATAACAGAGTGAGACTCTATGATTAATTATTTTAAAAAGTCATATTGATGAAAAATTTTAAATTAGTTTTTAATTTAAAAATTTTTATGCTTAGTACACATAGTTATCAAACTTTTTAATTAATGGTATATTTTAAAATAATAATTAATAATATATTTATTCAATTATTTATTATTTATTTTTAGAAAAGTTAATTAACATTCATTTTAATATAGAAAAATTGCATTACTAGTTAATACAAAATTATCCTTAATGTCAATTTAAAATAAATATCATAAAAGAATTTAAATTTTATGTACTAACTACTGATAATTTAAAGACTTAAATTCACTTTTTGATTACTATAAATCTGTGAATGTAATCATAGTTTTTTAAAAAATTATTGCAAAGTTGGTCCCTAATTTTTAAAATTAAGTAATATTTGTTCACGCATTAACATATCATCTAAAATTAAACATAAAATATTGAGATATCCGTGAATGACACTACTTAGTAATTAGTTAATCATGTTAGCTTTTATTTATAGAATAAAATTACTTTTTAATGTATAATATATGTGTATATTTTTTTATTTTACTTAAAATTTATAATTATTAAAACAAATTTTTCTAAATTTTTTAATACTATTATTTTTTATATGGCTAATTAATTGTTAAATAGTATCATGCATAGACCTGTCTGTCTTTTTTTTTAAAAAAAAAATTAAATGACATATTAATGGATGAATCAACATTACTTAATTTTGAGAACTATTTATTTTATTTCTCAAAATTTTGAAACTTATAATCTCCTATTAGGTCGATCTTATTAGTTCAATTTTGAAACCTTCCAGATTTGTAATAAAATAAAGCATATTATTTTAAATATAATAAAGATAAATATGAAACATAATATTTCATACAGATTTATTTAATAATTCACTCATTCAAAGAGCTTCACAGAAACAATAATCTAGTATGTTAAGCCTAATACTGGCACCACTAATATTCAATAATTCATTCATTCAAAGAGCTTCATCAGTGTTGGTTCAAATTCCAAATAACTATTGATGAAAGGAAAAGCATTCATTTGGATCATTAATTAAATACAACCCATACAGATCTCCCACATTTTGACAACAAACTGAATTCATGCATTATGATCTGTAAAGGAAAGTATATAGGATATTTGTAAGCAATCAAGGAACCGGAATTTCTTCCACTAAAACCACAATAAGTATTATATTAAGAATAGTACCAAGGAAGGAAACAGAATTGCATTTGTTCTTCCTTTGGGCATCGAAAAACAGTGGCTTTGTATGTGAGGTTTTAGATGCACAAAAACCATAGACATCAACATGAAATTCCCTTTTGCAAATTACCACTCAATTTTCCTGCCTCAAAATGGATCAAGATCTAACAAAAATTACATTACCGCTGTGTTATTTCACACTCCAGGTTTAGTTCTCAGGTGAAATAACTAAAGTGATATAGGAGAAGAAGGGGAAGGAACAAATAAAAGAATTTTAAAATTTTTGGCTATTTTTGCTTTAGCTAGTTCAATATTCTCTTCTGAGCATTCTTGCAAAGAAACGGTTAGAGTTGATGCCTTCAAAACTAAGATTTGGTTTCTCTGAATATTCTATCATGTTTCCAAACCCAAACTTATTTTCTTTTTTAAGGTAAAATACCCGCTTTAAATTGGAGTCTAGTAGTATTGTGAATTAAGATTTTAAAATATGAGTTTCTCAATTAAAAAAAGTGTATAAATAAATAGTTGTGTTTTTCATAAAAATAAATGCTCCTTCGTAAAAACTAATAAAATATTAGTAAAGTGATATTTCAAACTCAATGCAATACGAGTATGAAATGTACTTGGAGAGACATTTGATCTATCTCCCTTAAAAAATGCATGATAATATTTTTTTAAAGTTACTTGAAAATGGTTAGAATGATATTACGTGAGGATAAACAGTCATAAGTGAAGTAAAAAAAAAATACAAAATGTTAAAAAAAAATTAGAATAACTTCATTAAAATAAATTAAACATATATATAATTAAATTAATATATCTATCATGAAAGAGATAATTTTTTAAAAATATATATAAAAAATAAAAAAGATTGAAAAATATAATTGTAAAAAAAAATCTATTTCAAAGACTTGAAAAATAATTTTAACCTTCTTTATATTATCTGGTACATTTACTCGGGTGAAATTTGTGACAAATGAGCAACTAAAAACGTGTACAATAGAGCATGATATTTGGATTGGACAAACAATGTTCCACACTGAACAAAAAGTAATCATCCAGGGGCGCAACCTTATGTAATCAAACAAAAAAGAAAGAGGATGATCGATTCAGATTCTACATGTGCGGTGGTGGTGGTGGCGGCGCAGAAGAAGAAGACGGCGAAGGCAAAAGATTGTAACAGTTGCGAGCCAAGAAGATGCAATCGAGGCGGTGCAGGATCTCGGCGTTGGGGTCTCTCTCGAGCATGACGTCGGAGACGGTGACCTGCACGGCGCCCTTGTAGCAGCCGAGCCTGCCTCTGACTCGACCCACGAAGCCGAGCGTGAGGAGGGCGGCGAAGTGCTCGGCGAGGTCGTGGCGGTGGCGGCGGGTGACGGAGGGGGAGTGGCGGTTGTTGAGCCAGAGCAGGCAGGGGACGCAGCCGGTGCCGTCGTCGATAGCGAAGCAGAGAAAGAGGCCGGGCTTGAGGTCGCGGAGGGTAACGGAGCCGAGGGTTTCGACGCGTGAGAGAGGGATTCCTCTGCGGGAGAAGGAGGGAGATTGGGTGAGAGAGAGGAGATCGAAGGCGAGGAGTTTCACGTGCGTGTTTTGCAGGCAGCCTGCTCCCTCCTGCTGCATCTTCCAACTCTTTTTCTCTCCTCTGCTCACCTGCCTGGCTTCTGTTAGTCTCTGTTATCAATCTATAAAGATATTTTAATTAAATTAATCAGCCCGTCAAATTATTATTATTATTTTTATATTTATGAAGTTAGTTTAAATACAAAAATAAATATAATTTTTTGTCACCTTTAAATTGAAAAAACTTATAAATTCACTATTATATATTAAATACTAACAACAATTATCTTGAGTGTAAATATTTTTTAGGTGTTTTCTTTAACAAAAGGATTTTTAAGAATATTTTTAACTTTTTATTTAATTCAATTTTATTTATAAAATAAATTTAAATATTTTTAAAATAAATTGTCATATTTAAAATAATATTGTGTCATAATATAAAATATTCATCATAAATCTAAAATATATTTTATATGCTTAAAAGTATCTATCAATAAAATTTATAAATTTATATATATTTATAAAAATCTTTATAAATTTTATAATTAATATTTTTATCTTTCAAATTTAAAATTTATCTTTTTAGTCTTTATAATTTTAAAAAATATTATTTTAGTCCTTATATTCAAATCTTATTAAAAAAATTATTAAATATTTCACATAAAATCTATTTATGAGTGTCTTTATTAGTGAAAATTGTAAAACTTGAGACTTCTCCCTCTCTTTTCTTCATTCTACTCCTTCCTCCCCCCTAAACTCTTTCATTTTTGGATTCTCAAAGGTTGTTGAACTTTAAGAGTGCAAGGAAGCTTTGAAACTTTGGAGTCGGATTTTCATCCCCGTTCTCTTCTTCTTCCTCCTTCCATCCGTGGTAGCTCGTAAGCTCTTTTGTCTTGCTAGGAGCTTCATTTGAGGTAAGGGAAGCTAGAATTTGTTGATTTTAGAATAAAATATTGTATTGTTACATCAAATTGTTGGTTGCATGTTGATTAAATTGGAGTAAGTGGAAGTAGAAAGTGAGGTTTTTGAGTTGCTTGAAGAATGTGTTGATTTGAGTTACTTTTGAAGTTGCATGTTGTGTTTCTTGGAGTTTTTGTGTTGCATGTGGTTAGTTGTGGTGTATCTTTGTAGTTGCATGGGTTGGGTCTCCTTGGATTGTAGGTTTTTGATGAATTATAGGAAAAACGAGTGTGGGAAGCCATGAAAGTGCAAAAAGCTTAAGGAGGTCAAGATCTGACACTACAGCTCAAAGTTGGGCATTGCAACCCTGGGAGAAATTGATATGGCAGAGATACCGCGTTGTAGCTCCAAGTTGGGCGCTGCAGCTCCAAGAGAAAACGAAGTTGGGAGAAAGTTAGAGTTGAATCATTGAATTGAATGCTGCAGCGCCAAGGGTAGATGACCAAATTTGGTCTTGGGGCTCGTGAAAGTTGTAGCCTTAGAAGTTAGCTTTCCAATGGTGTTGGAATTACCCAAGAAGAAGGTCTATAATTCTAGTTATGACATTTTTAGTGAGCAAAGGTCAAGTTGTCAGGATTTAGGTTAGGCGTTGCGGTTTTCACATTTTTTAACAAGGTAAATGATAAAATTAGGACTTTATGTCTTCATGATAGTTGTAGGAAATCTTCTTGTCTTTCATGTGAGATAAGGATGAGAATGATAGGAGTAGTATAAATTCATATATGTTGTTTTATGTGAAGGTTGCCATTCATATTAAGTGATTGGGTTAAATTGAAAGTTTTGGGTGCTTAAGTTGATTTATGTTGTCTATATGTGCAAGTTGGCATGATATATGAGTTGTAAATATGTACTGAGTTATATTATGTGATGGTGTGCTAATATAAATGATAAAACGTTGAATAATTATGATTGTTGTAGTATGATGAAAAAATATAGTTGTGAGTTAAGAGTTGCATGTTGAACCCTAGTTGTGTAGATGTGTAGAGATGGTATCTAAGTTGTTGAGATAACTATGATATTTGAATTGTAAGTTGAATGAGATGATGAGATGATAACTGTGTTGTTGTGTTGTTGTGATGAGTTGTTGATCACCAAGACTAGGAGAGATGTTTTCGAAGTTGCTCATCCCATTGTACAGATTGAGATAGTTATGGTGCTCTAAGAGCCCAATTTGTTGAAAAACTCTCATTGGAAAGTTGTCCCTCGAAGTGAATGATGTGTTATTCTCCTATAGGACTTAGTTAGCCCCGTGTGTGGACAAGGTCGAAACACACATGTTAAAGCGACCATGGTATAGGGACTAGTTCGAACTATACTAATTACAAGCGGCCAATTCAAGTAAAGTATGAAGTCGGGAACTTAGTTCCTAACCGAGTATTGAAGGCTTGTAGTATTTCGAGGATAGTTAGTAGGCTAATCCCATAGGTGGCTTAGTTGAGCTAGCTAATGTCATGGTAGGCCTAAACCCAACTATCTTATATTGACATAGTACATATTTCCTTGTTTAAGTAGCAAAGACTGAGAAACTGTTATTGTGTTGTGGATTTTTATCCAAATTTGTTGTTTACCTAGTAAGCCCAAAAAGGTTATGTGTTGCCGGTTCGGTAGGACCTAACTACTTAAACTACTCACCTTATGTTGTAGGAGATCTTTGAATTAAAATGCGCAACGACGCATATGTGTTGATGAGTTGATATTGTGATAATATGAGTTGTATGTGTTGATGTGTTGTGAAGGTGTTGTTGAGCGTTGTGTGTTGTATGTTGAACTAGTTGATGATGATGATGATGGCTATGTTAAGTTACTTTCCTATATATGTGTTATTTTTTTTTACTAGATTACCCTTGTATGTTTCCATGTGATTTGGATTGCGATGATCATACGATGTATGAGAGCAGGGCAGGGATAGACTGGTGTTAACTAATGAAGGCCACTTAGTGATAGGAGTTGGAGAGTTATATTTTGTTGACTATCCATAGTAGTATAATTTATTTTGTAAACTGTTATATATACTGTGGTATGTAGGGATGGCAAAAATACCCGCACCCGCGAGTATCTGCGGGTAAAATCCGCTACGGATAATAAATGGATAGGCTAATTGGGTACCCGCGGATAATGGGGACTGATAATTTTTTACCCGTTTATAAACGGGGTGGGGGCGGGTATGATGATATCCATACCCGCGGGTACCCGTTTAATAATATTTTTTAAATATCCTAATTATCTTTGTATCACATAACCCTAAAACTATACTCTCTCATCTTATTTTCTTACAAAAGTGAGGTTAGTGAAATTAACATGTGTTAAGCATGTTATAGAATTATGTTGGATGTAATTTGATTAATTTTCTAGCTTTGATTGGACCAATAAGATTTATGTATTTTAAGTTATTTACTCCTGTTTGAAATTATGAGATTGAATTATTATAGCTTTGTGATGAGACTTTAACTTATTTATGAGATTGATGTATTTTAAGTTATTGATTATCTTGCATTTTTATTATTATTTCAACAAAATCAACATTAAATACGAGTTCAAAATTAACACTGAATTTTTATTTTTAATATTTCAATGACATTAAATATAAACTTAAAATTATTTATAATATAATTTTTTTAATTTTTTAAAAAATTTATAAATATCCATGGATATCCTGGGTATTTAAGAAATTCATGGATACCCGTTTAATGGATAACCCCTTAAAAAATTTATAAATATCCACGGATATCCATGGATATCCGTGGGTATTTAAGAAATTCACGGATACCCACTTAATGGGTACCCGCTTATTGATTTCTTTCGTGTTTTTTTCCTTTCCTAACCAACATCCACGGCCCATAGAGATCTTCCGAATTCGGAATAGAATTTTCTTGATCTGATTCAAGTGATTGATTAGCGATAAGAGACTTTGAAGTCTCAGATTGCGTTTCAGCCATACGACTTCCATGAATCCCATTATCAACATCCATCTCACTCGAACCCATCTTGCCACCAACCATAACCCCTTCATTTGGACTACACTGGTCCTGTCGATGACCATATTTACCACAGTTAAAGCAAATTGCATGTAGCCCTTCATACTCTAACTTAATGATATGGCCCATAACATTGATTTTAGACACCAATTTTTTCATTAGGTTGACTTCCACACATATTCTAGCAAATTTTCCTCTAGAATGAACAGAGGTCATTTTGTCAATTTTGAGCATTGACCCGAGCTTACTACCCACTCGCCATAGGAATCGATCATTGTACAGTTCAATAGGTAATCCGGGGATTCGAATCCAAGCCG